GTTAGAGGCTGTTGTAATTAATTTGTGTCACGACGCAGTGTAATTGGGCGCTCGTCAGTTGATTTTTTTTTTTTGGGGGGGTGGCATTTTAGAGTTACTGGTATCATCATAAAACTTGCTTATTTCTTTCTTTTCCTGAAAAAGAGAACCCATCTCTTTTGAATAGAAGTCCAGATATATGCAATTGAAGGAGGTGGGTACCACAGGTAAAATTAACAAAACAAAAAATAGCCGCCAACGTTTGATGACTTCCAATGCTTGCGTGTCCTTGGAAACAGTTTTTTTTTCTTTCTGATCAACGATTTTCTGTAATATCCACTCATAGATGTGTTTTAAAGGGAGGCAAAAGGTTTGAGTCTCCGCCTAAAAAAAAGAGACAAATAAAAATTGCCCAATGGATGGGAAAATGTCGGTTCCATCGATTACATTATTTTGACGAGCGCCTGATATTTCACCACGATGTCATACACCTTCGTTTTTAAATGTCTGTCGCGTCAAGGAGGAAAAGAAAGCACCACAAAGCCGAGCTTGAAAGATCTGCAGTAACTTATTTTGAGCAGTTGTCGCGAAATGGGACTGCTGGAGAGCAAAGAGAGATGAAAAAGCGTGGAAACTTCAGGAAGAAGCTACCACTACCTTCTCCATACACGAAAACTCAGTTGTGGTTTTAAAAATGTCCCCTTTAAAATGCTCCATTAACGCCCCCCCCCCCACCTCAACAAAAAAACATCAACAACAACAACTACAACAGCACAGAAAATTTTAAAACAAAATGCTTTTTAACGCAATAGTCTGGTCTGTAGTCAACGTTCATTGTGAATAAAATTTCAGGGTTAAGTAAACAAGACCTATTTGTATGTTCAACACATAGGCGACAGACCGAAATGACGCTCACAATATGTCGTCACGAAAACATTTTCACATCCCGCCCATTTTGCCAAGTGCATACCAGATTGTAGTAAAAATAAAACTTGAAAATAAATAAACTAATAAAATTAAAAAATAAAAAGTTGTAAAATAAACAACCTCAACTAATTCAAATAACTGATTTATAAAATGCATTAGACATGTGTACTTGTGTAAAATACTGAGGCCCAACAAGAAACTGAAGATGTATTCTCAACAAACTCAGGTAAATGATAAAATAATGTGTATGTTATCATCATGTATATTATATAATAATATCCTGTAATTATGTACTTTGATACCCAATCAGTACATGTATTACATTGTTACTCAATCAGATTACGTTCTGTTACCAGATGAATTTTTTTTTTCTTCTACTGGTACTAGATAAATAGAAAATAGTTGACTGGGTAGTGGTGAAAATGGTGAAATGGTAGGCTAGTAATGTTTAACGCGCATATCAACACTATTTAGGAATTTCGGTTATTTAAGAGGCGGGGATCGGGTAACGATGTACGAGTAATTACATGCATACATTTAAGATATTATACTTTATGTCTTTTATTATAGGACTAATACTGGTGAACCAAAAGAGTGGGTGGTTGGTGGGTGCTCTGTTGTGGTTTGCTCCTTCTTTCCTATCAAACATCTATCGTCTTTATCTCCCCTCCTTCTTTTTCTGTTTGCTAGTCTCATGTAACACCTCTAATCTTCGGCACTTACATAACATTATTGTGTTGCAAGTGCGGTAAAACTCTTACTAAAACTTAAAAAACTAAACAGGACCAAACGAAGTCCTGCCTAGAATCACAAAATGCATGATGAAAGGACTTGGTAAGGTCATCATTGGCAGCTTAAAAAGTGGCGGAGCCCATTTCAGGACTTATGAGTTATGCCAGTCAACTGTCGGCAATCTCTTCGTGTGAGATGGGAAACTCCACCAAGGAGAAACCCACAGCATAAACGATGAGCCGGGATACGTACCCGCTCACTTCTCAAAGGGCGCTCACCTGCCAACTCACTCACAGGAAATGGCCAACAGCCATCATTAGTCATGCTGTCTGTGATGTACTGTGAAACTGAAGCAAAGGGAAGACTTTTTATGTTCTACAATATTATATTGACCTGTTAGTGGAATCTTCAGGCATGCAGCTAAGCCCGGTGGTAACATTCCACCCGAAATACTACAACATGTACTACTAGTTTATGATATACAGTACATAGGCTAGGCCCCCTACATGTACATGATTTAACACCAACGCGATATGTAGTGTCGACTGCAGCGTGGCAGGATACAGTTCAGAATGCCACGGTATGATGAGTTAAAAACCCTTCGTCAAGACGGGGGGCTTTTTGTCTTTTAGGTGAGGCAAAGGATTGACATGTGGGTGGTATCCGTGTAGAGTACGTTTTTAGTTTAGCTGTAGAGTTTTTCTGCGTAACTTTTAATACAAATAAATCGTAAGAATAAGGGCTCAAGATTAGAGGTGAGTAGTAATAACTAACTAGAGACTGGAGAATTTTCATACAAAAAAGAGGAGAGGTAGGACGATAATGCTTTACAGGAAGGAAGGAGTAGATCACACAAGAGCATCCACCAACCACCCACATCCGTGGAAATGAAAATAAACAGATTAGTGCAGAATATCACTCCAAAAAAGTATTTTTTTTTCACTGTCATATCTTGCGTCTCTGCACATACATGTAGTTGGGACTCATTAAAAAAACAACACAACCCCCAAAACCGCAAACAACTATGATCAGTTTCAGTCGTGTACGGTTTGAAAATGTCCTTTGACAAGGCGAGTTTAATTAATAAATATCGCCAATCTCTTGGTGTAATGAAGTATAAAGCAACTTTTTTTTTCTTTTTCAAATTCAGCATTGTGTTGGTTCAAAACTAGCTTCCCGTCCTGCCCCAACGCTGGTATGACAGGGTGTGTATATAAAACACCCTGTTCTTCTCGATACTTGAAAATAATATGTACTGTCAGTAGTGGTATATGTATGTCATTTTAGGAAAGAGAATGGCAATAATAACAGCATTTTGTAGAATTTATATCCCTGCTCGACGTCAAGCTCTACGTGTTTTACACAATCTACCGTATGTCATTACCCCAGCAGACCCTAAAACACTCAGAAACATTATCGGCTTCCCGGGAAGCAGACTACCGATTTGACGCTCATCCCCTTGAGAGCTGTGTGAGTTAAGGGAGCGGAGAGCCATGAAAACTCCCTGGACACCCAAGTAGGCCTACAAGTATGCACTTTTTAGAAATAGAGCCAGAGTTATCAGCATCTTTGTCCAGCAAGATGCATAATAAGTGTATGTACCAACTGGGCTGACGGTGTGAGCGTGAACCGTGGCCTAATGTGGGTTTACAATAAATAAAATATGATCTCACCACCGTTACCTTTTTTGATAAGTGTTTTACGGCGCTCACAACTGCATGGGGTCATGTGAGCGTGCAGGACACATTAAAGTTAAAAGGAGGGGGGGGGGGGGGGGGGGGT